GATGGTGCGAATGGAGAAACGACAATAACAGAATCATTTGGCGAAAATTCCAATTCCCACAGCGGGACGCACTGTGCGCACACACAAGAGGATAATCAAACCGCAATGTATTGCTTGGTAAATGGTACAACTTCGATCGACGCGTATCGTATGTTTATGTTGGCAGTTGGCATTGCGAGGCTATGCATATTCCAACGTCTCGCAGCACGCACTCAGTATGATTTTTCAAAGTCCTTAGGTATTTTGAAATTACACATGTGGTTGTCATTCGGGGGGAGATAATTTCATCTCAAATCACTCGGTGTTTTTCCTTTTTATTGGGTTTACCTTTCTGGAGGATAAATATTTTCATTTTACGGGCAGCTCGAGTTTGTGTAGGCGGTGTTATGTCACATTAGGGGTGATTATGTTTGTTGAAAGGGGAATTTAGGATTTCTTTGATTTGATCATACGTTCATACTTCAGTCATTTTTGTGTGCGTTAAAAATATAAATTTTTTTTCAATTATATCACCCGGAAAATTATACTGTTGAAAATTTTTGTCTGAGTTTTCCGTACCAAATCCTGGAAATTTTCATCGTGTTTATTATCCACTGAGATTTCAGGAAATTCTGATCTTGAAAAATCAAATATTCCAGTAATTTTCGGTTTAAATGATCTCAAAATCAATGAAATACTTAATTTTCAGTTGAATTATTCCGTGAAAATTCAGGGAAAAATTGAAAATTCATATCATTTTGTTTCTGAATATTCATATTCCATTGAAAATTCAACCAAGTCGTGAAATTTCCATCTCCTTCCCACTGAAAACTCATGAATTTCCATGAACTTTACCTAAAACTTGAAATTTCATAACCATTTCTCACCTAAATCCGATTCAGTGTCACTCTCATGAGAATGACTATCATATATTCCATGAAATTTAAAAAAATTTCTGATAGTGTACAGACAACGCAAAATTCACGTTAGATTTTTTTTCTGAATAGCTAAACATAAAAAAATATAGAAAAATATTAATAATCAGGGGAATTTATTGATGATTTTTTGAAAATTTTTATTTGTTTTTCAATGAATGATTTTTTTTTTGAGTTTGTTACCCATATTTTATGCGTGTCTAGAGACTTAACATTTCTGCTCAACATACGTAATGAACATAAAATGACTTGCAAATCAGATTTCATTCACGACATTCGCTAGTGCTTTACGGGGCTCATGCGATAAAACTTGTTTTTCATAACTGATATCTCAAAAACTCTTTTTTTTCCAAATCTATGATCTTCCGTAATAATACCACGAGCGCTTCAACATTATCGGTTATCTTTCTATAGCTGTGTTGCATAAAAAAGAATATCAATGTCAAATTTTTCCCGAAAATATATCTGAGATATAATTCAGTAATTCTCTAAGAGATTGAACAAAAAAGTCATCAAGGTGCGAGGGGATTATTTGAGAATTGATCAGACACTGATGTTCAACCATCTGCGTCCACCATGCCCACTCTGATGAATCGAGACTCGAGAATTTCGACACTCGAGATTCTCTATATTTGGGCGTATTATGGGCCGTGAAGAGAGGGAGGAGCCGTATGATTGGAATTGGAGCAACAGGACGCTGATAGAAACTGAAATGGAGAGGTGGATGGAAGGGTTAACGAATGATCGCGAAGTTGGAGATTCTCTCATTTATTTCAGAAATCAAAATTCCTGCACAGTAAAAAACACTTTTCCATTTTCATTACCCTTCCAGTCCAATAATTTTTACTCCGCCGGCACAGTCATTTTTATTTTTATCAGAATACAATTTCTCTAACGTAGAATATAATTTGGTCATCATATATTAATTTTGATTAAATTTCGGGATAGAAATGAGGAAACGATGACTCATGATACACTTTTATAGAACGGTAGGATAATTTTTATCAAAAATTTCCGTGTAGAAAGGATTAGTTATTGTTAACGAATGGATTTGGTTGGATACGAGGGTTTATTCGGTCTCATCAGATGTTCATTCGTTAATAGTTGATAAATGCACATTTGAGGAGTCTTATTTGACTCGATTTTCACCTTTCAAGTGAACCACTCTTTAACTATTAACGAATATTCATTTGGTCATATTCAACTCTACCATTCGTTAATAGCTGACGAATCTCGTTGGGAATAAATGAATCAGTCTATCAGTGCACGCAATTTTTTCTGAAGTTTTTCCTCCGTGTCCACAACTTGAAAACGACTCTCCCTCGTAATTAAGGAAAACAGTGAACGTGGAAATTTTTTTTATCGTCAGTTTGTTTAGTTCTGTAACGACGTGGTCTGGTAATAAAAGTTCACTGGGAGTGGGAGGGTCGTTGAACAACGGAGAATGGGTGTTAATACATTACATGAAGTCATAACGAGGTGGGGACAGTGTCAGTGGGCGATAAATTCAAAATACGAGATTCAATTAACTCCGAGCCGATGCACCCGGCTATGCTGCACTGGACTCCGAGTGTTTTGGAATTCCGCTGGGTCGGATGAATTTTCGGGTGAGGGCCGTTTGTTATGCCGTGAATTTCCGCTGCTCTTGTTAGAAAGTTGATAATATAGACGATTTAATGCACACCATTTAGGCCAGGGAAATGGACAGCTCAGGGGAAGAATAAATTTTACTCCTGTTTTATTTTTATTTCATGTAGGAAAATTGTACCCGAATTCACGAATGATAATTAATTCACAATTTTGAATTTCCATCTCTCGATTGTTCTCGTAAATGTCAATTAATTAATACAGAGTAATCCACTCAAGCCCAATTTAAAATCCATTTTTCGTCCATTAAAATTTTCCGTACCAATGAAATTGGCAGTGTCTATTCGCACGCTCCACGGTAAATTTTACCGTGGATTCACGGTAGATTCTCCCTCACATCTTGTCTGACATCTCTGCTATGAATTCTAGTTTTCAACTCTGGCAGTTCAGTTGGAAACCAGAGTTGTAACAACATTGTCCAGTGGGGTCTAGGAGTCTCCCCTGGTTAAAAAATCATCCTTAGATGTTTTTATTTGCGTTATTTGCGTTAATCTATACTGATATTCGTATTCGAGAAAATTGTTTACCAGTCTACTATCTCCATATCACTCATCAGTTGATTCGATGTGTCTAGTTTATTGTCTAGATTTAATTTGAGAAGTAAAAGTTGAGGGTCCACGATCTCCCATATATCCACGGTAGAAATTACCTTGAATCCACGGGAAAACGTCCCGTATATCCACGGTCAAAGTTACCGTGGAGCGTGTGAATAGACACTGCCAATGAAATTCGGTGAAAATGAACTTCTCGTGTAACTCATTTATCCCGATCCATTACTTCAGAAATTGTTCTGTATCACGTGGGATGTGACCCTCGTGTATAATTTAATGACGCCTTTGTCAGTGCCATCGACCATATACGATTACACGTTGCAGATTGTGCGTGTACAGCACGTGTATATTGTTTGACCACCCAACGTCAGCACCCTCTTCAGCTCGAGATCAAAGGAAAAACCCAATTGCCCGTTAAAATATCCAACCACACATTCATACATGAATGATAAAATATCCGTACGCCAGTTGCAGTTGGTGGAGATAGTGCGCATAGGGGCCGATTGGAAATAGCCACTCTTTCCACTGATTTTATTCACTGTTAGAGAAAAATCGAAATTTCTGGGATAAGTTAGGGTTAATTTTCGGAGGAGTGACATTGAATTTGATGCGGGGAGAAAAACATGTTTTTTTATTCAACGAGGAGGGAAAATTTTGGAATTTTTAATTCGCGAATTTTCCATTTCACTTGTATTTTTAATCAAAACATGAATATTCAATTAATTAATATTATTAATATTAACATTAACATTAATATTAACATTAATAATATTAATATCAACAAATAACAAATAATATAATATTAATATTATATGATTAATAATAATATTATTAATATTAATGTTATCATTAATTAATTAATATTCAGTACCAAATAATGCTAAATTCCCCTGATTTATGTCAATTTCCACGGAATAATTGAATTGCCATGGACATTCTCCATTGATTTTCCCAGAAAATTTTGAATTTTTAATAACAAAATTCCGTGAAACATGATGTGATGAAAATTACCACGAAGTGTACCAGAAATTTCAGTCAAGTGTTCATCACTATAATTCAATGTTGAAAGAGAAATACCGCGTTTTTGGGTAATGTTCGCATTTTTATGGACATTTATATAAATCCTTGGCATTGTTGGATGCCTCCCGCGGTATAAGTCATCAAGAGACTCGTAAAACTCACGAATCGCATGATGCTGTAAAAGTTATAGGTGCACTTTTATTACAAATGAAAATATAGGTACATTCTAACAACTTCACGATTGCCAACTGAATACAAAAAAAAATCCGTAGAAATTCTTTTGTCGAGTTTTCCCCGTCCATTTTGCGATTCAATGAATGATGATAAAATATATTACACTCCCGATTTATGGAATCCCGGAAATCGAGATCCGATAGAGCTCTTTCATTGTCCCGCGAGCTTTGAACTCTACCTGAACAAAAGCTGGGAAAAACGTTTTCACGTTTTTCTCTTCCCATCGAACAAAAATTGAAGAGTGGTAAAATGAGTCCGGAGAATTCTCCTTCTCTCGTTTAATTAAATAATTACGCAACCAATCGGGAGCTTTCAGTATTACGCAGAACTGGTGAGACCCTATAAATTTCATAGTAATGAAAATTACTAAAATTACGCCGTGGTACGGCAGTCGATGCCGTCTCTGACAGCTGAGACATACTTTTGAATTGGATGCAAATTACCATAGATTACATGATGCCTTGTCTATTAATAACATTCGAGCATTTATAACATGGTTGACTATAAATACTGACCGAGTTTGGCTGAAGAAAACTCGTCTAGACGAGAACCTGGGATGCAGCTGATCGATAACTATTTCATTTTTATAACAAGCGCTAGTGACAAATTTTGATGAAACATAAGACAAGGTGAGTCGGTGACGTATGCATTTACATTTATTCTCAAAAAGCGTGTGATAAAAATTTAAAGGCTAGTATGCTTTGAAATTTTCTCAAGTTTCCAACAATATAATTTCAATCATTGCATAGGCGACAATCTGTTGAAGGTACATTCTTTCCCATTTTTTTTAACATAAATAAAATATATGCACAATTTTTTGAATTAGTCTTTCAGTCAAATTTACATTCATATTTTTCAAACTGCAGTGTTAAAAATTTTCTACTGAAATTACCGATGTCTTGAAAATTTCTAACCATTCTAATTTCAATACGAATGATCAATATAAGGATCTATCCATTTTCACTGACTGCATCACAATGACTTCACCAATTTCGTCTGGCTTGCCCTTCGTCTTCACTAGCTCTTTACGGATAGCTTCAAGCGTCTTTCCTTTCGTCTCAGGAACATTAAACAGTGAAAACAAGAAGGTGCACATACAAAATACCATAAATATGAAGAAACAGCCGTGCAGCCCAATGACGGAAACAACCATTGGGAAAAATTTGAGAACTAAAAAGCCACAACAAGTCATAATGAACAGAGTTATACTGTTGCTAATACTTGCTAAATCTGGACTATACACCTCATTCGGGACTACATGCGCAATGGGGCCCACTCCAATACAATACAGAACACTAAAAACGGATAATACGACCACTGGGGTCCAGCTGAATGCCGACACATCGTAACGAAAGCTCTGAATCAGCAAAAATATTCCGAGAATACAGTGGCAAACGGCCATTCCTGAAGAAGATAACAGAAGAAGAGGTCGTCGACCCGCGCGTTCCATTGTCAATGTTGACAACCAGGCGCCGGACACCTGCATTACTCCAAAAATTATAGTTGCCAGATAGGGATCCACTGAGCTCTTTGCTAGGTTGAATATAGTCACCGTGCTTGTCAACTGAAAATCAATACATTTTTCAACATTATATACTACTGAAAATTTTACACATTGTTAACAAGTGACATGATATTTACCATCACATTGATCCCACACGATTGCTGACCAATTCCCAACATCACTGCAATCACCAATCCCTTGAAATTCCCTCGGTCTGTGAATATATCTCTAATATTTGCTGACTTTGTGATATCCATGTTATCTTCGACGAATGCTCGAAGTCTATGTATTTCAAGTTCAACAACTGGCTTATCATTGCCCCTGAGCCACATCAGAGATCTGCAAATTGAATAAGGTCAGAATTATCCGGAATTACAAATAAGTCTTTCAGTTACCTGTTAGCTTCCTCAATTCGGTTCTTCCGGACTAGATAAACCGGTGTTTCTGGTAAAAATAACAGTCCCCCAAAGTGACAGATGGGCATGATTAGACAGCACATTGCGAACACATGATAAGACAGCACCGAGCCGAGAATGTATGAATACAGAAGACCGATTTTCACGCTGAACAGGAAGAAACTTCCGAGTTGTCCTCTGATATCAACACTAGCTATTTCCGTAATATAGAGGGGAGCGTGGAATGTAGCCAGTGCACCGGCAGCTCCTTGCAGTATTTGGGCGATCAAGAGATGATAGAAATTGGTGGCAAATAGTATGAGTAGCCAGCAAGTGGCGGAAGGAAGGGCGATCACGAGACCTGTGGCCTTTCTGCCGAATCTTTCACAGAGGCTACCACTAAACATAAAGATAATTAAGGGTCCAATCGCCAGACTTGACACCAGCCATGATCCCTCACTCGCGGTTAGAGGTGCTGTCCCCAGTGGTGTGTCTTCTCTCAGCAAGGATGGAATTGTCGTTGAACACCAGCCGTACGATACTCCACTGAGAAATGGTGCAAGATTCACTGGAATTTATATCTACGTGAATGATTATTCGGGTCACAAAGGCCACTGCTTGTTAATCGTATTAAGCATTGGAGAATTCATCTTGAGTCCATAGTTATCGAAACGGAAGTCCGTTGTAGCTTTATTCACTCAGGAATGCATCAAATTGCCAGGCATCGCAAACGATACTGATCTTATAATTTGTCTTATCTATGCATATTCTATCAAAATGCGTATTTCGAAAGCATAACCCCGTGTTTTAAAATGTTTGAATTTTCTGAAAGTTGTTGCATGGAACGAAAGTTTATATAACCCGCAAACACTTAATCAGTCAAAGCAACGGTATCGATGTGTCTATGGATTCAGTTGCCTGATTTTACAAATAGAACAATCTTTCGAGGATTTGCAAACTTACCGATCATTGTTGCTACGAATTGTCGCCACTTTCCAGGCACATTCGCGGATTTTGCCATTATTCGTTAAGAAGCTGATGTAGTTTCATGTGTATTCAAGAGAACTTACACGATGAATCCCTTCTTCATTACTGAGAGAATAAGGTGATTAGAGCTCACAGTATGCCGAATCGACTACCAGCTTTTGGTGTCATAAATGATAAATATGTTGACATTCTTTATCATAATTACTTCATTAAAAAAATACTCAGCAACTTGTTAGATATGTCACATGCTGATAAAGTTTATTGAAAGAATACTTTTTTAATAAATAAAATGTGGGAGGCCAATCTTTTCATGATTTATCTGTTTGTCCATATTTAATTGCTTCAGCGCGAACTTCACTCTTCACATGAGAGATGATCTCATTTATGCATATTCTATCAGTACAAGATATGTATTCAATAATAAGATAATATCACAGCATCTTCTCCTGTATAATTCCCTCAAGATTATACAATCACAGATTTCACATTAATTTCTTCACAAGATTTTCCCCTCACCCCATTTAACTCTTCAAGAATAGTCTTTTTAGACTTGCCCTTAGTCTCAGGAATTACAAACCACGTGAAGAAGAATACATACATACAGGGTATCACAAACATGAAGAAACATTTGTCAAGACCAATTTCATTAACAAGCAAAGGAAACACTTTCATAATCAACCCAGTACATAAGAACATAATGAATAGAATGATGGTGTGACATGTGCTCGCTAGATGTGGATGGTAAACTTCAGTGGCAACTATGAACGGAATAGCGCCCATGCCAATGGAATAAACAACACCAAACACGGATAATGACACTAGTGGGATCCAACTGAAGGCAGACACGTCGTAATCCCACGTCTGAATTAACAGAAACACTCCCAGAATGAAATTGCACAGGGCAACGCCTGCAGCGGACACCATGAGAAGTGGTCGTCTTCCAGCGCGTTCTGTCGTCAATGTCGCTATTCCAACTCCAATCACTTGCATCACTCCAACAACAATTGTGGCTAGATTGGGATCCACTGAACTTTTTGCCATTACGAATATGGTGACAGTATACGACAGCTGAAAGAATACTTTAATTAATACGTCTTCCTCGTCCGTTTCCTTTGATTTCGTTTACCAAAGGACTCATTCCACAGGCCGGCTGACACAGTATCACTGTTAAAGCTGTCACGAATCCTTTGATGAATCCACGGCTTCTCAACAAATCTTTCGTATTTAGAGATTCCCTCTCCGTCTTCTGATTATGAAATTCTTGAAGTTTTGATAGTTCAATGTTCACAGCTGACTTATCATTCCCCCGGAACCACATGAGGGACCTAATAAATCATACATGAGACGCCCCGTCCATTTTGATAAAGGCAATCGGAAAATAATCTAGATCTGCAGATCTTACCTGATTGCTTCATCAATTCTTTGCTTTCTGACTAGATAAACTGGTGTTTCGGGAAGCACCAAGAGTCCGGTAACGTACAGAATTGGTATAATCAGTCCACATACTGCGAACATTGTGTAAGATAGCACAGTACCCAGGATGTAGCCACAAACGATACCGATTTTTAAGTTTAACACAAAGAGAGAACCAAGTTGTCCTCTGATGCTGTCACTGACACTCTCTGCTACGTAGATAGGAGCAAAGAAGATGGACATAGCGTTAGCCATTCCGTTCAAGGCTTGTGCCACTAGGATATGGTAGAAGTTGTTCGCGACAAGTATGAATAGCCAACAAGCGATATAAGGGACAGCTCCAACCAGACCGGTGATTTTTCTTCCGTAGCGTTCGCAGAAGCTTCCGCAGAACGGAATGACGAGCAGAGGTCCGAAACCCAATGCAGCGACCAACCAGGAGGCTTGATCCTCAGTTATGGGTTCTGTCAGTACTGACGTCTTTTCAACCTGCAGATCTGGAATCATCGTCGATGTCCAGCCATATGATAGTCCAACCAACAATGCCGGAAGATTCACTGAAATTTGAATAAATTAATTTCCGGAATCGCGACCAATAACTTTCGTCGCTATAATTATTGAGAAATTTACCTATAATTGTTGAGACTAATTGTTGCCATTTTCCGGGTACCATGTCGTCTTGTTGCATAGCCGGTTCATAAAGTCGCTCGATCGGAATTTTTTTCAAGACAACGGTCAAAAGCCGTGTAGACTTATCTCTACGAATGATGAAACACGAATGGAATCAGCTCCACGTGAGATTTGTTTCCCACCCATCTTTGTTGACATCCATCAGATGTATACATTCATTTCTTATCGATTGTACTATACTAGAATAAGGAAAATAAAAATACCGTTTCGATTGGTGTCCGATTACGTGATAAAGTTTATTGACTTGAACATGGTTGATTGTTATTAATGTAAATAAATGAGAATGCAGGAGTTATTTTGCTATTGGTAGATGTGGCTTCTGATCGGTCAGGAATAGATAGACAAAAGTGTCGGATATCTTAACCGTTAATCTCTTTTGTGATTCATGCATACTTTCTTCTCAATTATTCTAAAATTGTGCTTTGATGTTTCCAACATGTCCAACACTCGATACAATATAATCTATTGAATCTCAATTGAATTCCCATTAGATACAGATTTAACAGATCGCGAATCTTCTTCAATGAATATCTTCAATGAAGCAAGTTCTCGCTCGACGGTCGCTTCATCATTATGTCTAAGCCACCTCAGGGATCTGTGAAGGGTAATTTTCAGTCAAATTACGGAAAGATGCATCATCAATCATTGAAGTGTACCTTGTAGCTGCTTCGATACCACGTTTTCTCAAAGGATAGATCGGCGTCTCCGGCATGAATACGAATCCGCTGACGAATGCAATCGGCAGGATCATCCCGCATACAGCGAACATCTGATAAGACATTGCGTCTCCGAGAATAAAGGCCAGGAGAATTCCCACGCTCAATGCAAATGGCAGAACACTCCCGAGTTTTCCTCTAACGTCATCACTCGCGATTTCAGCTACATAGATGGGGACGAGAAAGATTGTCATGCTGCTTGCTACGCTGGTGAAAATTCTGGCAGCAAAAAGGCAGGCAAAATCTTAAGCAATTAGTGTGAGAATCCAACTCAATGTCTGGGGAATTACTATCGCACATCCGAGGATTTTCCGCCCAAATTTATCTGACAACGGGCCACACAGTGGAGATACAACTAATGCTGCTATGAAGAAAATTGATGTGAGCCAGGATATCTGATCTTGCGTCATTGGTTTTGTTCCAACTGGAGTGTTCGCTCCTTGCAACTGAGGAATTATTGGTGATGCCCAACCGATCGATACACCTGCTGAGACTGCTAAGATGTTCACTGTGATTTTTTGGATATAAATTATTCCAGTCTGTGTTAGTCAACGCATAGTGAATATAACAATATTCCATGAATTCTTGAACTCACTGAATGATGCTGCAACATATTGTCGCCACATTACGGATGCCTTTACAGAACTTGTAGAGAATCTGTGCTAGCTTCACTAATTCGTCGAATGATCGATTAATCTGATATTCGGGAGGAATAGAATAGGATAAGGAACAGATCCTGTGCAACAGCTTTGTCGCAAGTGCACCGTCTGCAATTTCATGATGCCGCTTTCATGGAATTCTCCTCTTGGAGTGGGGACATTTATGTGACTGGAATTGTTAATAAGAAACCTGTCAAACGACGTGCAAAGTCAGGTATGGGCATCTGCACTTTGCATCTTTGTCTATGTTCACCCATATAACAATGTAGAGAATGCTTTTGCTGGAATGTTGTTCAGTTGATGCCGTAATTTGCGATAAGTGCTGAGGAAATTCTCCTCTGTTGGAGTTCTTAATGTTAACCATGAATAATTACGCATCAATCTTTGAGTGAAATTGTTTCGGCTCCGTAGAAATGAAAATATTTTTTTTTCACCCGGGGCCAAAGTGTCAGATTTTGGATTTTTCCCGGGGGAAAGTCGACTTTCGCCAAAATGGAATTTTTTCGCCAAGTGAATGTTGATTCCGTATTTATTGGCCCCTCTAATGCCAACAAAACGCTCAGGGGGCCCAGAAATGTAGAAATGAAAAAATTTTTTTTTCACCCGGGGCCAAAGTGTCAGATCTTGGATTTTTTCCGGGGGAAAGTCGACCTTCGCTAAAATCGAATTTTTTCGCCAAGTGAATGTTGATCCCATATTTTCGGGCCTCTCTAATGCCAATAAAACCCTCAAGGGGCCTAGAAATGTAGAAATGAAAAAATTTTTTTTTCACCCGGGGAAAATGGGTCAGATCTTGAATTTTTCCCGGGGGGAAAGTCGACTTTCGCCAAAGGTGAATTTTTTCGCCAAGTGAATGTTGATCCCGTATTTTCGGGCCCCTCTAATGCCAATAAAACCCTCAGGGAGCCCAGAAATGTAGAAATGAAAAAAATTTTTTTTCACCTGGGGCCAAAGTGTCAGATCTTGGATTTTTCCCGGAAGAAAGTCGACTTTCGCCAAAATCGAATTTTTCCGCCGAATGAATGTTAATTCCGTATTTATTGGCCCCTCTAATGCCAATAAAACCCTCAGGGGGCCCAGAAATGTAGAAATGAAAATTTTTTTTTTTCACCCGTGGCCAAAGTGTCAGATCTTGGATTTTTCCCGGGGGAAAGTCGACTTTCGCCAAATCCTCGATTGAGGATCTCTTGTTGATCTTACTGTACTAGAATAAGTGAAAACAACTATTTGATGAATTTCTCAGGACGTAATAGAGTTTATTTACTTGAACACGGTTGATCGCAATTGATATAATTGTACGAGAGAGCGAAAGTCCTTTGGCTGCCGATACTTGCGGCTTGTTATCATTCAGGAGTAGATTATAATCGGGTCAATTGAAAGGTAAAACTTATGGGACATCGTCGGCGGAATCAATTGCATTGCGACCAAAAATATCACTCATCATCTCTCAAATGATCTAAAATTGTGCTCTTAATACTTCTAACATTTGAAAAAAAATTGTGTCACACTTTCAACGGGTATCCCTGAGTTACTTGTTGTCTTCCGCCTTCTCCACGCGACTATAAATATCACTATATACAATACCGTCTACTGAATTTCAATGGAATTCCCATTGCATGCAGAGTCCCCTTTCGACTTCTCGGCTGGACCGTTCAACGCTCTAAGTATGGATTCAATCGGTCTTCCTTTGGTCTCAGGAACGATGAAGTACGTTATTAAAAATGTACATGTGCAGCACAATGAGAAAACGAAGAAGCATCCATAGCTTCCGATTAAACTATTAGCCAACGGAAAGCCTTTAATAACTGTAAAAAAGACAATCCACGTCGTCGACATGGCTATCGAATTAGCGAATGCTGCGACTTCAGAACTTAGTACTTCAGACGCCACAACAAATGCCACTGGTCCCAGACCAATGGAGTAAAGGGTTGTGAAGCAGCATAGAACGATGACTGGGGCCCATCTGAAGATCGACATATCATAATCCAAAGCTTGGAATAGAAAGAATAAGCCCAGAAGACCGTGACAAATGGCCATTCCCCCGCAGGAGATCAGGAGGAGCAAGCGTCTTCCAACACGTTCAATTGTCGCTGTTGACAAGAATGACGCGATCAATTGCACTACTCCGAGAACTATAGCTGAACCATTTGGACTTAACGAGGATCCTGCCAGCTGAAATATTGTCGCGCTGTACGTAAGCTGAAAAGACCAGATTCCAATGAGAAATCATCAACGTTAAAAGGTTCAAAGATTTCTATAATATTCTCAGCTTACGACGACAGAGTTTCCGCAGGCCTGTTGTCCCGGCAGAAGGGCAAATGCGATGAGGGAGCCCTTTATGGTTCCACGATCTCGCACCAGATCCTTGAAGCCCACAGATTTGGTGGACCTTGCATCTGCTTCAATGATTTTTCTCAATCGAATAAGCTCTCGATCCACAGTTGCTTTATCGTTGTTCCAAAGCCACATCAGGGATCTGTGGAGGGCAATCATTCAGTCAAATTGTGGAAGGATTCAACCAGGAAAGTTGGAGAGGAAAACTAGGGTCTTCAAGGCGTCTTCATTTGAGACGTTAGGCAAAAAAGCGTCTAGAGACCATGCAATCAATCTCGTGATCGAACTCGTTCCAGATGGCATTGGAAAGAATATTTTAAATCACAATTGGATTCATTTAAGCAATTGCTTTCTCAGTCATCATCATAGTCACGGTAAAAAAATAATAGCATAGTCGAGCTCCTCAAGCCGAAATTAGTTAGCCTGACAAAAAATTGGAAATCGCGGATCTGACGAATACAAAAAGCGACAAAAGCGTATAATTTCCGACTGTAGATTATTAAATGCATATGAGATGACCTTGTAGCTTCCTCAATGCGACATTTCCTCAGAAGATAGACCGGTGTCTCCGGCATAAAAACAAATGCACTGACGAACACAATCGGCAGAATCATTCCACATATCGCAAACATCTGATAGGACATGGCAACTCCGAGAATAAAACTCAGGAGAATTCCAATGCTCATTGCGAACAATAGGAAACTCCCGAGTCTTCCTCTAACCTCGTCAGGCGCTATTTCAGCTACATAGATGGGGACGAGGAAAATTGTCATGCCACCGCCCATGCCGGTAAAGACTCTCGCGACAAGGAGACATGTGAAATCTTGCGCGAGGATTGTCAGGAGCCAGCTCAATCCCAGGGGAATGGCTATCGCACAGCCGAGTGGCTTTCGCCCAAATTTTTCGGAGATTGTGCTGCATAGTGGAGAGATTAGTCCTGCTATGCAAAAAGTTGATGTCAACCAGGATATCTGATCCTGCGTCATTGGCTCGGTACCAACTGGTGTATTTGCATCTTGCAATTGAGGAATTATCGGCGAAGTCCAGCCGATTGATACGCCCGTTGAAATTGCTGCTATGTTTACTGCAATCATCGGGCAAAAATGGTCAGATCTTTTTGGTTGGAGTGAACCTGAGCGCGGGGAACGGATATATTGCTTGAATTTGCGGACTCACTGATTGATGCTGCAACATATTGTCGCCAAATTCCAGAGCCCTCCGCTGAATTTTTCGACATCTCGAACTACTTTAACTTCACTAATGCACCGAATAGACTTCCCTCCATTCGATGTGGTATGCCGAATGAACAGGTGACGATAAGAATTAGACACTATGTAACAGTACGGCTGTAGACACACCGTCTGTTGTCCCGAGATGCACCTTGCATGGAATGCGCCTTCAGGAGTGGGAAAATTCATTTACGCGATTAGAATCGTTATTACGAAACCTGTCAAAGTCAAAGAGGAAAATGAGCAACGGGCATCCTCACATTACATAGTCATATTTTTTCAAGTTCATTTTTATAGTAGTGTCAACAATCATCAAGTGTGGAAAATCCACTATTGTCTATCGTAACAATAATTTTGTTGGAATGTTGCTCAGGTCATGGGGGAACCTGCAATACATGTGAGGAAATTTCCTACATTCGTGGAATGTGGAATCTACCCCACCTGATTGTGTCTGTTGACTATCCGGAGAATAGTGGCATATAGAGGTTGATTAATCATTTCCTGGAAAATCATTCTCCGGGAAAATATCATATTTTGTATTTTTCCAGTTTATTACTAAATAACATTCCCCTTTCAACATTCCTTCGCGTCATTATGTGTAATTAATGACTTCACCCGTGAGATCAGGTTTCATCTACAAAAAATATTTCACAATGAGTATCCCATTTCATGCTTAATCATAAACTTAATAAATAAAATTAATAAATAATTACTACTACTTCGCTAATGTTTAATTGACAGTTCACAATCAATGTTTTTCGATTCTTTCGATGAAACATTCAACTTCTTCACTGTAGGCTCGATTGACCGCGCTTTGGTCTCAGGGATGACAAAGTCTGTAAACAAGAAAGTGTAACACTTCATGTGCAATACTTCAATTGCATATCGAGCAAATGGAAAACCTGTGATGAGGAAGAATTAGACACTGCGTAACAGCATCGCTGTAGACACACCGTCTGTCGTGCCGCGATGCACCTTGCATGGAATGCGACTTCAAGAGTGGGAAAATTCATTTACGCGATTAGAGTTGTTATTACGAAACCTGTCAAACGTGGACAAAGAGCAACGGGCGTCTTCATATTGAATACTCATGTTAAATACTCATGTTCAAGTCAACAATGTCAACAATAATTTAGTTGGAATGATGTTCCGACGACGGGGGAACCTGCAATAAATGCGACTAAATTTCCCACATTCGCGGAATGTGAAATGTTCTCCATCGGATCTCGTCTGTTGATTATACGCAGAACGGAGGGTGATTTATCAATGATTTCTCAGAAACTTTTGTATTTTTCCATTTTATTACTAAATAACTCAACACTTCCAATCATCCTTCCCGTTATGACGTACAACTAATGACTACACATGAGATCAGATTTTATGTACAAAATATGAGTGAAGTTCAGCCACGAGTATCACATTTCGCGCTTAATCATAGACTTAATAAATTAATTTAATAAATAATTACTACTACTTGGCTAATGTTTAATTGACAGTTCACAATCATTGCTTTTCGATTTTTTCGATGAAACATTCAACTCCTTCACGATAGACTCGATCGATCTCCCTTTGGTCTCGGGGATGGCAAAGTATGTAAACAAGAAAGTACATGTGCAGCACAATGCGAGAATAAAAGTACATCCGTGGCCTCCAATTGCATCTCGAGCAAATGGAAAACCTTTGATGACAACGAAGCATATGATCCACCCGATTGACATTGCTACAGAATTGGCGAAACCTGATATATCAGAGCTGAGGACTTCACTGGAAACCACAAATGCCACTGGGCCTAGACCAAGGCAATATAGTATTGTGTACGACGACAGAGTGACGATCGGTAACCAGTTGATGGTTGATAAATTATAATCGAGAAATTGAAATAGGAAAAATAATCCCAGCACGATGTGACAAACTGCCATTCCACCGCATGAAAACAGAAGGAGAAATCGTCTTCCCGCACGTTCAATCGTCGCTGTTGATAGAATCGAGCCGAACACTTGCATTATTGCGAGGACTATTGCTGCGGAATTTGGATCCAATGATGTTTCGGCCAATTCGAAAATTGTCGCTGCATACGTAAACTGAAAAGATATAAATTACGGTATATTACACGAAGGGGCAAATGTTTTGTTCCACTCTTCCTCACAACTTTTTGTTAAAATTCAACAGAGAATTTTTAGGATTTAACAATTGGCTGGTGATTTCTGTTTTTAACCACTAGCCGTTGGAGTTTATGGAGTTTATATGTTTTTTCAACTTACAATGATAGTAATTCCCGAGGTTTGTTGACCCGGAAGTAAGGCGAGTGCAATGACAAATCCCCAAATGGTCCCTCGGTTCCTGAACAGATCTTTAAAGCTGACTTTTTTGCTGGAAATCATGACTTCTTTTTCCAGCATTTTCTCAATGCGACGCAATTCGCTGTCGACTGTCACCTTATCGTTGTTCCTGAGCCACATCAGAGACCTGTCGATGAAAATTATTTAGCAAATGTGCCCTCGGCCAATCTTGGTCCATTCCTTATCTTACAATTAACAATTAAGCTCACTCAGAAGAATTTACAAATAATATGCGCTGATTGTTTATTGATTATTAATTTGGAAGGAATTGAAAAATCTATTCTTGATTTTGGGACTAAATCGTGGTTTAATTCACTATTTATATAATTTTCAAATGGATTTATTATTTGAATTTGATTTGGCTTTCTTATTATTCTTTAGTTGTTTTAAATATGATTTAAGGCATTAGTTGATGAAAAGAACGGGGATAATTATCATTTTAAGTTTGGATTTCCAGTGAAAATTAGTGCGATAAATTGATTTAGTAACAATAATATTTTGGAATACAATGACGCGGAATAAATGTTTGATATAAATTTGAGTTAAATTGCAGCTGATTCACTTGAGTATTTACCGAGACCGACCGATTAATTTTAATTTTGGATAGATTAAATGCTTTGATACGTCCACACTGACGGCTCAACGTGAAGTGTCTTTTTCCCCTTGCGTATGGCTACGATGAATCCCGGAAAAAATAGACCAAGGGAAATTTTTGAGTTGGGTGATTTTTAACATATTTTGGGTGTGCGGGATATTTTTTCCTGGTTTATTTTTTCCGCCCACCGCTAACGACCGCCTTCAGGTAGTAGGACCCGCGTATAAGGGTCTCATTGCAGAAGCATTTCCAAGTTTTCTGTTCTTAGTTACAGTTTCCGTGAACAGAAGGATACCCCACAGTTTTTCTCTTGAGTTGGAGGCGGTAAATACTCAAATGTAACATATGTCGATATTCGGTAGCTTTAGAACGACAGATCCACTATATTTTTTTTGGAAATTAACAATTCGGGACATTTAGTGAATACTTTCAAGATAATAAATTCAATATTCCGTTCAACGACGAAACATGGATTGGGGTGAAGGCTCACCTAGTAGCTTCTTCCTTTCGCCCTTTTCGTAGAAGATAGATCGGTGTTTCAGGCATGAATAAGAATCCACCTAGGAACACAATTGGCACTATCATCCCGCATATAGCGAACATCTGATAAGACATGACAGCGCCAAGTATGAATCCCAGAAGGAGTCCAAAATTCGCAGCAACTCCCAAGAAACTTCCGAGTTTTCCTCTGACATCGTCACTAGCAATTTCAGCTATGTAAATTGGCACTAGGAAGATGATCATTCCATTGCCCATGCCTTCTAGGATTCTCGCGATGAGGAGAAATACGAAATTGGTGGCGAGAAGCGTGAGGAGCCAGCACAATCCCATGGGAATTGCCATGAGACATCCCAATGTTTTTCTGCCAAATCTCTCAGACAAAATATTGCACAATGGAAGCGCAAATAGGGGCGCAATGCAGGTGACTGATGACAGCCAGGATATCTGATCTAGTGTCATTGGCTCGTCACCAACTGGTGTATCCGCAGCTAGCAGACGGGGAATCATTGGCGATGTCCAACCGGCTGATATGCCTGTCGCTATTGTTGCCATGTTGACTGCAATTTCAGAAGAAAATTGTCCGTTATTAACTTGCCGCCCCTAAGGGAGGAAGTTATTGTAATTGCCTCCAAAATCGAGTGTGGAATTTCGATGATTTGTCGACAATTCATGACTCCTAGAGTCATCCTAATTCGTCTTGAAGACATTCAGTGATTCGAATAATTGTTTTTTCTATCGATATGTAATTTAGAATTTATCAGTTTGGAAAGACGATCGCCTCAGCGATTGTATAAAATTAATTCATTTTATCCCCGCCGGGCGATGTGGGATTTTTTCTTTTTAAAATCTAATTCTTTTTGATTTTTTTTCTGTTTAATTATACGAATTAATTATTCGTATAAAACTTGTAAAAACGCCAAAAAGCGACGCTTTTCCTCAAATAACGACGGGATATAAATTCATTTCGTATAATCGATGCGTCTTCACATAACTCGATTCTAATTGGACATCAAGCGGAATCATCTCAGCGGTTGTTCAATTATTTGAATGAAACTTTCAAATTTTGTATTTTTTCTAATCAACAGAAAAATTTATTGATTCGACCCACAATGGATCGCACCCCAATCTGAGCGACTAGCACTGATTTTTACTTTCATGATCTCCGCTCGTAATGAAAAATGAAGTTCGCAACTCACTCGTCAGTGCTGCGGCATATTGACGCCATGTTCCGGAAACCGCAGGTGGAATTTTAGACATTTCAACTGCTCCCAACGTCACCAGTGAACTGAATAGTTTTTTTTCTCTTTGATTAATGCTGGACCAGACGCCGAAGACAGTTTATATCAACACTATCACATTTCCCTCTCTTCCGCGACTACCGTGACTCCTATTTTTTGAATCTTCTTTGAATGTATTTATTACCTCATCTATGCAATTGTCACTTTGTAATCTTTCAAACTGCATGTTAGCCGCTAAATGTGGGCATTTCCTTGCTTTATGCGGTCTTCAACGTTCAAGTTCATTGCTATATATGTGAAACTCGTTTGCGGGTATGTCCAATTTGCCCCCACCTTCGGCGCAGCGTTAAGATTTCCATTAGAATTTTTTCCGGTTACGATGCCAACTGATAGGGACAATTATCATATTTTCCGCATTCTTATTGCCGGCGATAATTCACTGAGAGTAGTCACTCAGATACTTTATACGTGTGTTGATTATTTAATGAAAACTTGAGTGTCACTGTGTGGGGTCTAGCGCCGAGCGAAACGCAATTGCATAAATGTAGAGTGCGACAAGTAGATAAGAGCAATACTAGAAAAATTAATCCTTGGCGGAATTTTTTTTAAATTCAAGTAACAGCTGCGTGTGATTTTTAATTCAATTTTTAATTGAATCGCTCGTGGAATTTCTTATTCATCTTGAAAATTCAACAATTTTTTTTAGTTGAATTAAATAAATTTTATTTGATTCGAATAAAGTTTATTTAATTCAAATACATAATTTTTCTCGGTGCAACATTGAATTTAATTTAGAGAAATGAAAATCATAAAATATCAAATTTCAATGAAAATTCAGTGGCATTCCCAGATTTTCATAAGCAGGACACAAAGAATTCCCCAACGTACATGAATTTTTAATCTAAACATAAATATTCAGGCGAATATATTTACATGAATTTTCTTAATTCCTACCATTCTCCGGGAATAATTCACCTAAAATTTACAATTTCCATTGATTTTCTCATGAAATTGTAAACTTTCAATGACGAAATATTATAGACAAGGCATCTACAAAAATTCGATAAAAAAATAAGTAACCAATTAAGCTTTAACTGAACATTCTTTATTCGCATCACTCCCCCCCGCCTCCACCGCTTCGCCATTCAACTCTTTGAGAATGGATTCGATAGCTCTCCCCTTCGTCTCGGGAACGACAAAATACGTAAACACAGTGGTGCACGCACAGCATGATGCAAGAACAAAAAAACATCCGTAATTTCCAATTACATCACTGGCTAATGGAAAGCCTTTGATAATTACGAAGGATATAATCCACATGAAGGCGACGGCAACTGAGCTAGCTAAGCCCGAGACATCAGGACTGAGGACTTCGGGCGTAACAACATACGCCACTGGTCCTATGCCAATGCAATAAAGAATCGTGTAGAATGACAAAGCAACAACAGGCAACCACTTGACAGACTCGACATCATAATCCAGATGTTGAAATAGAAGGAATAGTCCTAGTAGACAGTGAGAAATCGCCATCCCCAGACAGGAAATTAACAGCAGCAATCTCCTTCCGGCTCGTTCAATGGCCATTGTTGACAAAAATGAGCCGAACACTTGCATTGCAGCGAGAATTATAGCCGCTGAGTCTGGATCCAGTGAAGATCCCGCCAATCTAAAGATTGTCGCTGTATACATGAACTGAAAAGATCAACCTCAAGACATCATCAATGGCCAGATGCAACTGCATCTATTGAACTTACGACGACGGTAATTCCAGAAGTCTGCTGTCCAGGCAGAAGTGCCAAGGCAATCAGAAACCCTCGGACGGTTCCCCGATCCCGCAACAGATCCTTAAACCCCACTGATCTATCGGAACTCAAACCTTCTTTGACGATTTGCTGCAACCTTAAGAGCTCGCAATCGACAGTCGTCTCATCGCTGTTCCAAAGCCACATGAGCGATCTGAAAGAGAATGCCATGAGAAGCTCCTGAAATACTTCCACTCGAGACGAATGTTCACCTTTTCGCTTGATCGTTACAATCCTTTCGCAGTAGATAAACCGGTGTTTCAGGCATGAAGGCGAAACCGCTGACGAACAGAATCGGAAGCGTCAGTCCGCATATCGCAAACATCTGATAGGACATCGTAGCTCCGAAGATGAATCCCAGAAGAATTCCGATGTTCAGTGCAAACATCAGGAAGCTACCGAGAATTCCTCTTACTTCATCACTCGAAATTTCAGCTACGTATATGGGAACAATGAATATAACCATGCCGAGACCAACACCGGCCATAATTCTGGCGACTACCAGACAAGAGAAGTCCTTCGCAAGGAGGGTGAGAAGCCAGCTCAATCCCAGGGGAACTGATATCGAACTGGCGAATATCTTTCGTCCGAACCTTTCTGTTAATGGGCTTGAGAAGGGAAGAGCGAATAATGGTGCAATGCAAAAAATCGCCGTCAGCCAGGAGATTTGGTCCTGCGTCATGGGCTCGTTGCCAACCGGAGTATTTGCATCTTGCAGGGGAGCTATCATCGGCGATGTCCAGCCGATTGATAAACCTGCTGCCACCGCCGACAGGTTTACTGGAATTATTCAGAATAAACGATCGGATGATTATTGGAGAATTCCACTTGTACAAACGGTTAAACAACATTCTTCGATATTTATTGATTTACTTGTTATCGTAGCTGTATATTGTCGCCGTTTTCCGGGCTTCGCTGGCGTTTTCGACATTCCGAGGTTCTTCAATTTGACGGATGAACCAAAATGGTCTTCCCTCTGTGGAACACTGAATGGGAATCGGAAAAGACAGGTCGACAGATATCAAGTGGATTGGCCTCCTGACGTACCGTAACAATTTTCCTAGGACTTGTGTTTAAAAGTCGTCAACTCATCTGTCCAATTACAGTCTTTATTTCGAAATTCGACAAACTACGTATCTGGTGAGTGCTGCATATTCTCGTGCACGCTCAAGTTCGTTCGGGTAGATAGATGGATGGATAGAAACAATTTATTTAATAATGAAGCGGTTAAACGATTTTAATCGAGGTAGCCGGAAAACTCGGCTGATTTTTCGTTTTCTCCCTTAGATTTCGTTAGAGATAACGAAATTTAAGCTCACTCCACTCGCCAATCCCCATATGGCTCTCGTAGTCCTTATTCTGACTCGTGTGACCCTTAATCTGACCCTCGTGACCTTCATTATTCCCCTCATGGCCCTTAATCTGACGTATATAATCATTAATCGGACCCTTGTAGCCCTTAATCTAACCCTTGCGACCCTTAATCTGACCCTTGCGTTCCTTAATCTGACCCTTCCGACTTGTGACCATCAATCTTATCCTCGTGACCCTTATTTTGACCCTTGTGACCCTTAATTACAAAGTCCTAATTTCGAGTACCAAATTTTTATCACCAGACTTCGATTTGGATTTTTATAATACAGAGAGATATGTACAGTCGCGGACTTAAGTTCGTGAACAGCCTGCACTTGCATCCAATGTGTTTTGTTCATGAAATTTAGTAACCGACTGTACACATAAGTTCATGGGTAAGCTCCGTTCACTGTCGCTTTCCGCAAAAAGACGAGAATTTTATTGAATATTTTTTATTTCAGGTCTCGGTGTAATCCGGTAGAAATAATAACCACATTATCCGCATTCTTTTCGTTGGAAATAATGCACGTAGAGCATTACCTCTAATTCTCTTTACGATCAATTAAGTACGGAAACCTGTTGCTCGGGATGAATAATTGATGCAAAGTTTGCTATTCGGTAACAATCGATTTCATAATTCTTGCACTGTATGAAGCAGAAAATGTACAAGACTATTCTAGTCCTTGGTTGCAGGCACAAGGTCAGCATGGTCTTCACATGCCCTTTAACACGTTCAGTTACTTGGGAGAGTTGAGTAGAGTTGTATGAGAAGGCCGAGCGTTCACTAATTGCCAACTAATTTCAGTTGTCTCAAGGCTTTGCAAATATTTCTCTTGTACTTCACGTTTGCCCCCATAAAAAAAAATATAAAAAAAATATATATGGGCAAATTCCATATATTTTTCAAATTTATAAAGAATATATAAAAAATATATAAACCATATATTTTATTTTTTTTACATAAAATGGGCCGATTTAAGATATTTTTCAATATATTTTTGAAAATGTAAATTTTTCCGTGTGGGAGTTTATGTCATTGTGACGCAAGAATAATCACATTTTAATTGATAATCCGTGATGATTATTTTGCCAATAAACAATTCTTGCAGATGCAATATTTCAACCTGTTGTGCCCCCAGGGAGATTGTCACACAGTCGGTGATTTTCCGTTCCTTGAATCATAATTTCGATACAACTTTTGGGGTGCAGTTTCGTTTTTATTTACGCAACCTTGCAATTATTCATAGTTGCATGTTCTAGGAATATTTTTGATGGATTCCGATGGCTTTTGATATGTATTCTGTGTAAATGCCTTCTGATTTCATAAATTTTTCACGAGATATTTTAGAAATATCATTCAAAGCAATTTAAATAGAGAATAGCGAACAAATGAATCTTCATTTTTTCCGTTAATTTTTTTGTTTAAACAAACTGACCATTACAACCCATTATGTTGGTTCCTCGAATTATAATTTTTGTTCATTTTTATGTGATATAACGAGCAATTCTTTCGGTTTTATTCATGGGACCTTGAATTTATTCATAGTTGAATGCTCTGTAAACACTCCCAACCTAGAAAACAATATTTGCAAATTGTCGACACACTGTTTGCTGGGAATGGTTCCCGGCTTTTCATATTTATTCTGTCTGCATGAATTCTAATTTCATAAAGTTTTTATGAAAGTTTTCTCAATATCATTCGAAACAATTCTACTACAAACTCAATGCAACGCGTGTGAGAAATGAATGAATCCTCGTCACTTTCATTAATTTCTTTATTTAAACAAATCTATGGCGTTAATTACATAATTAATGAATACACGGAATTTTCGACTGATTAACATCACAGGCCCATCTCCCCCAACTCACCCCATTCCTGGCTTTATTATTCTAAACTTCAGCAGAAATATATTTATTATGTGCATAAATTATCATATTCACCAGAGAAAGCATCATTATTCCATTAAAATAATGTAGGGCATTCTATTGAATTTGGGAAGGGGCAGTTTCTGCGGTTGACAAGCTCTGTTTTCCGACGCTTATGGTTCTGGGAAACAAGTCCCCCGAGCGTATAGTCTGACGATACACGTAACGACCTGAATGACGTGCATTATCTCGACGTAACATTTCCCCCGGATTTTATCCAGCCCCCATTCAAGCCAATTGGTCCTTCGTGCTCGTTCAGGTGTGAGGAAGGATGAGGTCCAACTCCATTGATACGAGAGGCATGTCGATTTCTGAATGCAATGTGATTAATTCGAGAATCCTCCGTGGAAGCCGGAAGTATTCGCTACGCTGCCAATTAGGACGGATAAAAATGGAGACTCCGATTGAAAATTAGGTGTAGAATGTTGGTAATAAGAGAGTACCAATTACCAATTACCACTGGTGGCCTGGTGTTGGTACATTCAATAGGATGGATATTGTTATTGTTCGGTGCTGATCAATATTACCCAATAGGGGTTCCATGTGTCTGCACAAAGGTCTCTCGTGGCCAGTTTCAAATTGTTAAATATTGTATTTTACTCGTCCTCCGGAGCTGCCTGGGTCTTTTCCTCTCTCGATTTTTTAGAAGACCGCAAAATTTTTCCAAAGTTTTCAGAAGACTCAAGAATTTTCTGCAATTTCTCTGAAAATTATGGTTTTTTAAAAACCTCTGAAAAATTTTTGTTTCAAAAAGTTCCATAATATTTTAATAATAATCTTCTCCATTTTTTTCAAAAAAACACTCAAATGTGAGCTGCGTTTCTACAAAACTCCAATTATTACCACCAGTATTTTAGCATATCAGAGGATTTGTTCAAATTAGAATTTGAATTTGCTCTAAAAATTATAATTTACCGAAAGACAAAAAATATGAAATTTCAGGCTGAAGGCCCTCGGCCAACGGCCATTTGTAAGAATGTATGTTTCTTGCAATAAATAACGTTAAAAGTTAAGTTATGGAATTTCTAAAAATCCAAGACTTTAACAAAAAATGATGAGACATTGAAGAATCCACTTAAATGGTGTATTTTCCGCATTTTCTTATAAAAGTATCTACAATTCCTCCGGAAATGGAAAGCTCCGAAAAACTCCAGAACTTACACGGAGAGAAATATTCAATAAAAATAACGTCTCCGTAATTCCGGAGCGAAATGTGGTTGTAGGAAATTTTACGGAACTGGCACGGAATTTTTCAAGAGCGTTCCGTAATTTTTATCTGAATCTCCTGTGAAAAATTACGATGCCGTAACTTAAATTTTCTGAGTCGATTTCGCAATCGATGAGCAATAAATCTTAATATGATGTCACCAATTTTCACGATCAACATGACAACTCTCGTAGCTCATGCACTCGCCCGAGTCGAATAATTGGACCTGACAAATTCTACTTAGGTCTCTCCGTTCAGAACTGGATAGGTCTTGGGAAGCCTCTTCCCAAGTGCTTCCGAGACCTTTCTACCTCTGGTTATGTCCCACTTCAGCA